CCCATATCAACACCAACGGAGGCACCAGGACAAATCTCAACTTCATTGCTGAGATACTAATATTACTGTCGATTCCCGGAATCCAACAAAAGACATCCAGTCAACACCGTCCCTGCTTCCGGAATGTGCCCGAAAATCTGCTCACCACACCTCGGCGCGCTCTTTCATCCCTATGAAGAAAAGGCGACGGTTAACTCAGTTGACCTGTGTTTCCGGTAGAGGCAGGCTGTCTGTGAGCGGAGAACTTGGCGTCCGTCCCCTGCGCCGGCCTGCAGGATCTCCCAACTCCCGGCGTCTGCTGCTGCGGGATACAACCAAGTGACGCAAGGCTGTACACGTTTAGCTGACATATGCTCAAAAGCTCCGTTTGCTCAACATGTGGCGGAGCGTTCTCCTGTTTCCACTTGTCTGCCGACAGGTGTGCCACACGCACAACATCCAGCTCTGTACACACAGGCAGGTATAGGTGGTGTACTGTGTCCAGGCACTTGGCTCGTCAACCGGTGTCAGTCCTTGCCCCTCGTCAGGCCTTGGCGGTGAGGTTTACATAGGTGTGTGCACAATGTCGTGCAGCCGGGCCGGTCATACCGGCTAGCGGTGTGATATCGCCCCCGCGCTGACGGACCGTCATGTGGCGACGCGTGAATGACATGTCTATAAGCTTGTTGGGTAAACAGCCTGGAACAGATGGGTAAACATATCACCCGAGGCCAGCTTGTGCCGCGAGAAACGTGAGGACAGACAAAGCCGTCGATAACATGACAAGGTTTCTTCCAGAACACAAAGGTCACTGGTTCTAATCCCACCTGGAATGTGATAGCGTTCGTCGACCTTTATTGCCGTCTGAACACGAGGTTCTGACTGGGGCTTTATGTGTGACAGATATTTGCAATTAGAACAGTTCAAGGTTTTGAACATACACAAGCCTTCTGGTCCGTTAGCGTCCTATAGATATAAGAAGTGGTAATATGTTCAACACGAAATCGTGGATGTGAGCATGCCGCTGTTCATAGTACTTATGATGAGACCTGTGTAAGGCCTTCAAGGCTTTCTAACAGACCGCGGAACAACCGCTAGCGACGTGTCGACCCTGTTGATACCGTGCCCATATAGCCCTGCAATACCGTTCTCAATCATTATGAATCAATCCTCTGTAGCGACCGTATCTTCATGTCATCAGGATGCGACACGTATCCAGGTGCATTTTAGGTATTGTCGCAAGGTGGCGTATCTATAGCCTCTTGGCCGACAGGCTGAGTGTTGGTAGGTTCCAGCTAACACATTTCAGTACACACAGCACAGCCGACGTTGTGCAATCTGCGCCTGGCTGTCTAAAGGCAATGGTAACACTAACACTTCGTACGGTGCTCTACTAGGATCTTAACAGTACAGGAATGTAACCTGCATATATGTGACCTGAATGTAACCTGTCCATATACACTACTGATAGGACCTATCAATTAGACAAGTACTAACATTAAAACACAGCTACTGCAAAGTAAACATTCGCTTGGTTTATTAAAATCTGTATATATTCATAACAAGCAGATAGAAAATATGTTATAAGAAGCGTCATTTACTATTTTATATTCACAATTCACTATTTTATGTTCAATGCTCACAATTATTTCAAACCAGGTACGACTACAATGTCACTACATGTCATATCATACATATACATATACAAGCAAGTATTACACAATGGCCTATAAGATAGCTCTAGTTCTGCAAGCTAACCGATAAATTAAGGTCATCTCTACTGTACAAACTTTACAGGGCAGTCCTCGCGGCTTCTGCCGAACCGCTATGGCACCACACATGTCCTTATCTCATTAACCATCAGGATTGCTCATGCCATGATTCAGCTTATTGGGTACATTGTATAGGCGGATCACTCATCAAATATTCATGACAGTGAGCCTGTTGATTACTCAGTATCGGATCATAAAAGCTAGAGGGGGTGACAAGCAGGCGAACAATCCATTCCATTTGGGTTACCATCAACACACTTAGGAAAGCTAGTTCTCACTTTGAGCTGTGCGATATATAGTACTGTAAAAGCATCAAATAGACAATTGCAACAATAGAACCAACTAAAGTCCTGTCGACAGATCGCAGGTGCTCAGTATGACCATTAAGTAAGCATGATGAAAGTTAAAAGTGTCCATTCTTTTGCTCTCCGTTCACTGCCACTGCTTCGTTGTTGTCGTCCACCAAGACACAGTAGCCGCCTCCCTGCTGGTCTATCACCAGGATCTGCCCCTGCTGCAGCTGCGGCTGGGAGCTGGAGTCCCCGCTGATGGCGATGTTGAACCTCCCAGTCAGGAGAGGGTCGGTCAGCTCCACCTGCCGCCCAGCCACTTCTTTCTTCGACTTCAGCAGGCTCGGCAGTTTGGTCCCCTGGTTGGAGGATCCCCTACGCTTCAGCTTTGGTGGCGTCGGACGTCGTGATCCGGCTGTGGATGGCAGGTGCTCGTACGGGTCCACCTTGTAGTCGTTCAGATCGATGACTTTTGACTGGGATTGTTTGCGCTGGAGTGGGACGATGAGGTTCCTCCTGTCGCCGTGGATGAAGTACGGCAGTAGGCTGCATGACTCCATCACTGTGATATCGCCCTTGTACTCATTTTTACTGGTACACGACACGCAGGACCGGAGGTCGGTTTGGGCGGCCTCTGACGGCCGGTCCCGCTTTTCCTGCTCCATCCTCTCAATATGATCTTCCAGGGTCTTGCAAGATGCTTGAGCGTCGTCTCTTTCAAGCACGGCCTCATCCCTCTCCTTCACGACTTCTTCATTCTTCGCCTCCACCTCCTGCCGCTGGCACAGTTCCTGGGCCGCCTTCTTCTCCGCCTCCTCCGCCCGTCGAGCAGTCTCGATCACCTCTGCCTTAGCAGCGCTGATTTCTTCCACCTGGCGGCGATTCGACTTTCGCAGCTCCTCCCTCTCTTCTCCTACCTGTTTCTTTTCTTCTTCGAGTGACTTTTGCTTCCCTTCTGCTACTTTCAGCAACTGTTGCAACTCCACTCTCTCATCCTTGATTTGTTTGTTTTCTTCTTCCAGTGCTTTTTGTTGCTCTTGTGCTTCATGCAGAGCCTTTTCGAGGCCCTCAACTTGCAACTCCATTTCGCCCTCCCTTACCCGCTGCTCGTTCACGACAGCGAGAAGCTCGCGGTTCTCCGCCGACAGTTGACGTATGGTTTCATCGGTTTTGACCGACAGCACTGCCTTCTGAAAATTCAGCTCTTCTCGTATCTGTCTGCCACCTTCTCGCAAAATGTCGCACTCAATTTTCTTTTTGGTCAGCTCGCTCTGGAGCTCGTGCATCTGAAGCTTCTCGCGGACTCGTTCCTTCGCTTCTCGGCTGGGTTTCTTGGGAGAGATGTCGACGGTGGCACCGTTGACCGAGTTTAAGGGCAGGGTGTTGTCATGATTTGCGTCCTGTGTCTTCGGCGATTTCGTTGGTGCCTTGGCGACAGGATCTGTCTCAGGTTGGTCGCCAACAGGCTTTTTCACCTGCTTGGCTGTTCTGCCGGTTTTGCATCGTTTGTTGACAGCGGAACTCATGGCTGCTGCTGATGCCCGGGTTCAGACTCAACAGTGTGGGGACACGGACGGATGATTTTATAACTCGGTTTGTTGTCCCTGGGTGCGGACGTCACCATGGATGTGTCGTTCCTAGGTAACCGGGTTATTGTTAAATTGATCGAAGCGTTTGTTTTCTTCTTGTTGTTGTTGTGCTACCCGTGCGAGCTATAGTTGATAACTGAGGGGAATCATGCATTCCAAAAGTCAATTTCCGTTAGAATGTAAAAGTTCCATGCAACATTAGATTGTAACAATTCTGTGGTACGACATTGACACTCTAGAAAACATTGATGTCGATATATTTGCAGGTGGCAACAACTTGGTATAACACGTGTCCTACCACCTGATGCTAGCGGGTGTGTGGTCCCCTGGGGCTGAGCGATTCTCATTATTGACTGAAGGGAGGTAATAGCCGGAAAGTCAATTATCAGTGTGTATGTATCTGGCACCGGACATGGGCCTGTGTGTGTGTGTGTCACGGGGTGTGTGCGAAAAGAAAAGAAATTTTGAAGGTAAACATTCTTTCACCTACATGCATGTATGCACACAAGCCCACAAAGACACACAAACACACATAAAATAACGATATTTTGGCCCGACGTAACCACTAAATAGTCATGCACACCATCTAAACCCAAGGGATCGATTACAAACGCATTCTTCCCAACACCTAACATATCAAGCAAATGCTACCTGCAACAGGTTTACATTAAATGGGGGTCACCATACAGTAGAAATGTCTACAAATATTTGCTTCAACTTCATCTCTTCTGACGGACGACTGAAACGACAAATATCATTTTCCTTAGCACCTGTAGCTATAGCGCACCTCTAACACAATAACATAACGGCCTTGCCTGGTTTCCCAGTAACGCCTCATCCATAGTGACAGCGGCGCCAAGGGACAACAAACAATGATGCATATAAAATTTGGTCTGTCAGGTGTCACCGCACTATTGAAACTGAGCTCGGCCATCAGCAGGCATGAGTATCAGTATGTCGTCTACTACCCAGACCGACAGCGAGCACGGGCAGGGCAGTATGTCTGGTGCCAACCCTCCGGTGACAACCTCAGCCGCCAGATCACCGAGGATGGCACGGAACGCGAAATACGGCAGCAACCAGTCCTTAAACACGGTCAACGGGGGCATTGTTGAAACATTTCCCAAGAAACCAAGCCAAGAGGCAAAGGACCGAGTTCTAGCTAAGATTCAGCTGTACGAGCTCCGGAAGGAGCTGACCAAGAAGACGGCGGAGTGCGACATTTTGCGAGAAGGCGGGAGACAGATACGTGAGGAGTTGACCTCTCAGAAGGCAGAAACCGATGAAATCATACGCCGTCTTGAGGGTGAGAAGAGAGAGCTGTCCGCTCAGGTGGAAGAGCTGAGGGCACGGGAAGACGAGCTGGAAATGCGCGCTGAGGACCTCCAAAGGGACCTTAGCGATGCATCGGCGGAGCTGAAAGAAGTGGGGGAGGAGAAGAAAGCACTGGAAGAGGCAAAAGAACACATTGAGGAGGAGAGAGATGAGCTGCAACTGTCATTGAAAGAAGCACAAGAAAACTGGAAGACACTGGAGAAGGAAAAGAAATTCGTCGAGGAAGAGAGAGAAGTGTTGCAAATGTCACTCAAAGAAGAAGAAGATAAGCGGAAAACACTGGAGAAGGAAAAGAAAAACATCGAGGAAGAGAAAGAGGAGCTGAACCAATGTCTAAAAGAAGCGCAAGAGAAGCACGGAACCCTGCAGAAGGAGAAGAAACACGTTGAAGATGAAAGCGAAGAGTTGCAAAGGTCACTAGAAGGGGAAAAGAAACTCCTCGAAGAAGAGAGAAAGCAACTGCAAAAGTTGGTAGAGGAGTTGCAAAAATCGCTGTCAGAAGCACAGGAGAAGCAGGAAACGTTGACAGAGGAAAAGAAACTTGTCGAGGAAGAGAAAGAAGGGTTACAAACATCACTGAAGGAAGCACAGGAGAAACAAGAGCTGCTGGAGAAGGAAAAGAGACACATTGAAGAAGAAAAAGAAGGGTTAGAAAGCTCGCTGAAGGAAACACAAAGGCAGAATAAAACGCTGGAAGAGGAAAAGAAACACGTCGAGGATGAGAGAGAGAAGTTACACAAGTCAGTAAAAGAAGGCGAAGAGAAGAAGAAAATAGTGGAGGAGAAAAAGAAACAAGTCGAGGAGGAGGGAGAGGAGCTGCGAAAATCTAACCAACGTTTGGTGGAAGAAATCAGCGCCGCTAAGGCAGACGTGATCGAGACTGCTCGGCGGGCAGAGGAGGCGGAGAAGAAGGCGGCCCAGGAGCTGTGCCAGCGGCAGGAGGTGGAGGCGAAGAATGAAGAAGTCGTGAAGGAGAGGGATGCTGTCGTGCTTGAAAGAGACGACACCAAAGCATCTTGCAAGGAACTAGAAGAGTATATCGAGAGCCTGAAGAGAGAGAAGCGGTCAGAGGCTGCTCAGACCGATCTCCAGTCCTGCGTGTCGTGTACCAGTAAGAAAGAGTACAAGGGCGATATCACAGTGATGGAGTCATGCAGCCTTCTGCCGTACTTCATCCACGGCGACAGAAGGAACCTCATCGTCCCACTCCACCACAAGCAGTCTAAAACCATCGATCTAAACGACTACAAGTTGGAGTCCAGACGCCGTCCGACGCCACCAAACAAGCTGAAGCGCAGGGGATCCTCCAACCAAAGCACCAAACTGCCGAGCCTGCTGAAGTCGAAGAAAGGAGTCGCCGGGCGGGAGGTGGAGATGTCCGACCCTTTCCTGACCGGGAGGTTCGTGAACTCGATCAACGCGGAGGCCAGCTCCCAGGCGCCGCTGCAGGACGGCCAGACCGTGATGGTCGATCTGCACGGGAACCGCTACTACGTCATGGTGGACGACAACAGAGAGGCACTGGCGGTGAGGGAGTAGGAGAACGGACGTATCAGCACACCTGTTCCTGTTAAGACGGCAGCATGCTGTATGTCGGGTTATCTCACTTGTGTTTCACATGAATGATCACATAAATGGGCGTTTTAGTCCAAAACGTCATATAAAGATATCCTTGTTCACTAGCTAGAGTTAAGGTGGTGCATATTTAATTGAAAAAAGACAGTTTCTCTCTGTGAAAGTTAGTCTTTAAACATTTGTAGGCTGTGTTGTGTAGCAGAGAGACAGACTTGTGCACTGATGCACCAGAAAACCAGTGTACGCCTCACTGCGTGCAATCTATATATATATATTGTGTAGAAGAAACCTGAGTACGTACGGTACAGCGCATTGACTAAAACCATTGTCTGTTCTATGTAACCTTTGGTAGAAGTAGAGTAGGCTTATCGTAATTACTGTAAGTATAGTGGAGAGATCATAATGGGATAGAAATAGATTGTAAGTCAGGACGTGACCAGAGGAGGACAATGTCATACTGCCATGCCTGGAATCTATGTTTGTACCTTGCATGTACGCCAATTGTTCAGAATAAACTGCCATATGTCTTAGCTCGGTTGGCTGTGGTGTGTTAGGAGACTATCACGTCAGCGGTACAGGTTATCACTTGAGTCTCAGAGACCATAGATTGGTCTATGGGCGTGTGGTGTGTGTATAATGGAGACAGATCGGCAACTCCATGGTAGATAATTGTTCGTGTGTTTTTCTCTCCCATGATCACTGAAGTGAACTGATGGTACGGTGACCATATTGATACTAGGAGTACAGAGCAACAGTACAGCGAAGTTTGTTTTATCGAGCAGAGATAATATTTTTTATCCCAACATGTAATCACCAGACGTGGTGACGACACACTCAAGTGTTTTCAACTTATATTAATGCCGCCACCAACACAGGGGACAAATACATGACAGGACAATACTCATTTACACCTGAGCTAAGTGAGGAAAGTCGTGTAAAGTGCCTTTCCCAAGGGCACAAGATCGGTGGCATGTCAGGACTCGAACCCGGGTAGTTCCGAGTTGCGCACTCTGCCGCTACGCCACACGACCCCACGTAGAGATAATATAGATATTGCCTTCTCGTGACATAGCATTGTTACCTAAACAAGCGTATATCATTGTCTTTCCTTTCTTTATGGGTTTCTTTTCATCCGCCCGAGGACGTCTCCCTTACCTTCAATTCCGTCGCCATGTCGACTGATTAGTTTCCACATGGTAAACCCCGCCATGTTGTCCTGACGAGTGCAGACATGCGCACAACATCGCACATACAAGTCTCGCTTATCGTGAAGATAATACACACATATGTTATACAAGATGCCATATTCCAGCGCGGTACACAAACTAGCAGACCGTAATGGATTGATATTGAAGTGATTCTCTGGTCCCAGAACTCTGAGAGGGAGGAAAACGAAACCGTTGCCATAGCAACGAAATATGGTTCAAGAGTATCTTTTGACGGTAAAAAATACATTCTGGGAAGAATGTTTCTTCAGAACACATGCTCACCTGAACATGGCGAACACTATGACGGTTACTAGTATATAACGTCCTGGCGATAATATCATCTCCATGGCGAAGGTCATTATCGAAGCCGCTACGTATCGTTCCACAAGAAATGGCGATTTGTTCAGATCACTTGGTCACGTTTTATTATCTTATCAGTGTTATTGGGTGGTCCGGCTACTCTCTTCGTAGCCAAGGGCTGAACTGTGAGGAGCGAACAATTATACGCTGGAGTGGCTACCATTCGGCGCTAGCCGTTCAGGTGTCCTCAATACGGCCCCAGGTGCGGCCATAGGACTGTAAGGTTAATCCACTCACACCGGGAAGGTCCCCTACTCTTTTCGATAAGTGTGGTGGGTTCTTCAACGTCCATGACGTCCGTGGGGTGTGGCTCTCAAACCCGGACCTCCATTTAAAGTCTTGTACGATGGTCCCTAACCGGGTCGTGTAAAGGGCCTTTCCCAAGGGCACAAGTTTGGTAAACATACCACACATACACATAAGAAAGGCTACATTTTGACGTAGTTCTTTTGTTTGTTTTATTAACATTGACAGCTATGTGATTATAGGACGGTTAGAGATGAAAAAGATTATTCTATTTTCACCAATGCTACATCAGATTAATGGGGTAGTATACAATGGTTATCCTAGATTGTACATGTACATCGGGTTTCCTCCTTTAACACAGAGCAATTTACAACGGCTTTCGACCTTTCACTCGATATTGGAGTTTCTACAACTGACCTGGACGTTGACATCCGACCATTATCCTTGCATTACGCAAAACTACAACTGTCTTCACTTCACACCGAACAGTGTGTGGTGTTGTTTCCGTTCACACAACGTAGTTCACAACGGTTGTCTAACACTCAATATACAATGTACAAGAGTAATCCTCAATTGGATTTTTCTCGGCTAAATAGTCTATTTCTGTACATGTAGAAAAATGTGGGTTAAAATCCTACAGGTCAGCTCAAACACTCCAGTCGCAACATTTCTCATCACTTGAACGTGCGTGACCAGCGTCACTCAAATACAATTATCGTAATTGGTCTCATTATACTAGTATCATTTGGTTCTACGGTATTCAATAAAATCATTGTCAAAATCTATCAAAAATCCATGTCAGCGTGCTGGAGGTCAACTTCGTCCGTCTGTTCACCGGCCCTGGTCCCCGTCCTTTTGCTCTCCGTTCACTGCCACTGCTTCGTTGTTGTCGTCCACCAGAACGTAGTAGCCGCCTCCCTGCTGGTCTATCACCAGGATCTGCCCCTGCTGCAGCTGCGCCTGGGAGCTGGAGTCCGCGCTAATGGCGTCCACAAACCTCCCGGTCAGGAAAGGGTCGGACGTCCTCACCTCCCGCCCGGCGACTCCTTTCTTCGACTTCAGCAGGCTCGGCAGTTTAGTGCTTTGGTTGGAGGAGCTCCTGCGCTTCAGCTTGCTCGGCGGCGCCGGACGCTGACCATTGGGCGGCGTGTGGTCTTGCGGGGTGTCTGTCTTGTAGTCGTTCAGATCGATGACGCCGGACTGGGACTGGCCGTTGGACTGTTTGCGCTGGAGTGGGACGATGAGGTTCCTCCTGTCGCCGTGGATGAAGTACGGCAGGAGGCTGCATGACTCCATCACTGTGATATCGCCTTTGTACTCAGTCTTACTGACGCAGGACACGCAGGACCGGAGGTCGGTCTGAGCGGCCTCTGACGGCCGGTCCCGCTTTTCCTGCTCCATCCTCTCGATATGATCTTCCAGGGTCTTGCAAGATGCTTGGGCCTCATCTCTCTCCAACATTGCTGCATCTTTCTCCTTCTCAACTTCTTCATTCTTCGCCTCCACCTCTTGACGCGTCTGTAGCTCCTGGGCCGCCTTCTTCTCCGCCTCCTCCGCCCGCCGAGTAATCTTGCTGATTTCTGCCTTAGCGGCGCTGATTTCGTCCACCTGGCGGCGATTGGATTTTCGCAGCTCTTCCTTTTCCTCCTCAATTTGCTTCTTTTCCTCCTCAAGCGTTTTCCGTTTCTCTTGCACGTCTTTCAGCTCTTCCGACGCATCGCTGAGGGCCTTCTCCAGGTCCTGAACTTGCCTCTCAATTTCGCCCTCCCGTTTCCTCTGTTCTTCCACGACAGCAGACAGCTCGTGGTTCTCTTGTTCAAGACGACGTATGGTATCATTGGTCTGCTGAGACAGCACTTCCTTCTGATAGTTCAACTCTTCTCGTATCTGTCTCCCGCCTTCTCGCAAAATGTCGCACTCGACTCTCTTCTTGGTCAGCTCGCTCTGGAGCTCGTGCATCTGAAGCTTCTCGCGGACTCGTTCCTTCGCTTCTTGGCTGGGTTTCTTGGGAGAGATGTCGACGTTCACCGTGTTTAAGGCCATCATGCTGTCATATTTCGCGTTCTGTCTTCTTTTCGGCGATCTGTTGGCAGAGTCTGCCTCAGGAGGGTCGGCGACAGGCTTCTTTCCCTGCCTTTTTTTGCCAGCAGTCTTGGTCTGTTTGGTAGCAGTGGACGTATTCATGGCTGTTGCCGGTGCACAAGTTCACAATGGCGCAAAGACGCGAACGATTGATTTTATAGCCCGGTTTGTTGTCCCTTGGTGCGGACGTCACCATGGACGCGGCGTTTCTAAGAAACCGCGTGACTGCCAAATGGGTCTAAGCCGTTTGGTTATATTATGCATGCATAGATACAGATGCTACTTTTCAGGACAACTGTGCTTTCTAACAGCCGCTCATTCTCGTTCTTCGTAGTAAACGAAAAAGGGTTTCCTCTGGGAGAGGGCGCTCATCACCTCGGTGTTGGACACAGCACTGCAGTCTGCAGATGTTTATTCTCTCCTACAGCCATTACTGTCACATTGGACGGGAAAAATGAAATTCTACCACATGTTGCTAGTGTATAAAGTCATGTTTGAACTACAAAAGCTACTGTCAACACATACTTTAGTGCATATTAGAATTTAATACATATGATGTGGGATTAAGTTCACACAGTGACTGGAATTCAATACCAGGTAGCACTTCCAATTATATGACAGACCGCCGCCACTGAATAATTGATGTTCCGCAGGAGCCAAACCTTGAGCAACTTTCTACCTGAATGCTCTTGTGATGCATATCCTGGATATGTGAGCTATGTGGTAGCCTTTTTGTCTAGAGTATACTGTATCTAGAAAACTACACCTGAAGCCACAAGCGCTACAGAAAACATAAAATTTTTGGCGAAAGACATAAATGTGTCGTATGATAACGTACTACCGGGGAGAAAAGTCATGTCCGTGGGGGGCATCGTCACTTGCCATGCCCATACATGGATAAAAGATGAGTCCAGGAAACTGGTGCAAAACTAAAAGCCAGAAGTGATTAGTCTCTGAAGACCGGAAAACCATCCATCTTCTTGGGAATCCTTGGAACTGTCTGGGTCCACTGAGACAAGAGGCTATTTATCAAACAGCAGCGGCGGAGGGGTTTTCAGAGGGAGGGACAATGTGCAGACATCTCAGTTATAAAGATGATGAAAACAGTCCAGATTCGGTGCCGCAAATATAACCGACAGCATGCCAAGAGGCCTAATATTTTGAAACAGCCCTGCCCATATACGTGTATACATTACATGCATGTCTGTACGTTTTTTGTTGTGTAAAACTTTATTCGAGCCGAGGCAAAGGGGGCCTCGTCACCTGGTAACAGTTATAAACACACGTCACGGTCGGGCAGTATTTGTCCCCAAATTACCTTTTTTGTGGGAACCATTGAACTGAGAATCCTTTGGGTGAAGGCTAAACTTGTAAAAAAACATATGTCATTAAAAACCATATGTCATTAATGTCATTTATATGAGTAGTTAGTTTTGAAATAGAATTTCCAATGCATTCACTTCTGTACGTACACCTTCCCCGTGTAATAATATTGTACATTGAAATACATATTGTACACATCGGGCTACGTTGGGACGTTGCCATGGCAACGTTTTGTTGATACTACCTTGGTTGCCTGGCGACCCCGAACTAGAGAGGACTTTCGCATATGACATCGTTGCCGAGACCTGTCAAATAAACAGGTACATCAACACACTGTCTCACACGATTTAAAAGGCGAGGAGAGGGGGCAAAAGAAACGAAAACACAGACTAGTTGACTTTGAACAACTTTTCGCTTACTCCATTCCACACATATTTGTCTGTCATGAGGCATATCGACCATATTGATACAAAGACGTGATCGAAGTTGACAAGCATGTTATTAAGCCATGAAGCTAAGTCAGCTGGAGTTATCCCAGCTACCAATTACCCCTGTCATCACGCGAAGACCGCTCCTCAACCACTGAATAATTGATAACGGGTCTGGCCAAGTTAGTCACTTCATGGTGTTCTCTATCTTTTCAGTTGTCGGAAATTTAGGTAACTTTCAGGATGCAAGGTCTGTCGTTTTAGTAAGGTCTTTAACATATTTTATAACTACTTCCTTCAAACGTGGTCTGATATTTGTCATGTTGAATAGATGCAATGGAGACTAGAGTTTTACGATTTCATACCGTCGCCAAGTGATGTTAACGTTTACGACTGACGAATTATAAGTGTTTTTCGTGGATGCAAATAAGGTATCATTTACATAGCGTATATCAGTTGGTTACAATCTCCACCCAAATTAAGGGGTTGCCCAAAGGCAGTCTATCTTAACATAAAGGCTGTGAAGTATGATATTTATGCGGATGAGGGTCTCATCCTCATTAGTCATGTTTAACGATGTTCCCCTTCAACTTATGCCACATATATAAAATTCACACCATTTATCACTATGAAATCATAGTATTGATAGTTCTTTCATCAATAGAATTTCCTCATGAATTCCGCAATATATATCATGATTTGCAAATTGTCATCTAGATTTGCGAAGCATCACTTTAGCAACCTTCATACCAAAAATCATGATCCGTCAACCCCTTCGTTAGCTATCATGAAACGCCCCTACAGTTCCAGAACTGCTGGGGGGGGGGACTTATGTCAGTCTTGCCTTGGGTGGTCCACATCAATTCCCTTAACCTTGTTGAACCCCGTATAAAGCTTTCAGACCCGAGCAGAAGGTATTTCTTCGTCTCTTCACCAGAAAAATTACAGGGTACAATTCACAATTTCACAGTGAAAGTGCACAGCATCATCTATCATCCTCACTCGGTACTGCATAATGGGTATAAAGCCGAGCTACATTTTATAAACAATTGGTGTTGAAGAAGGTTGTAGCTGTAGTTTTTTTAATCAAGAATAACAAAAGTAACAACAGCAGTATTAGTAACACAAATAAAACATGCTCATGTAGGAGAATTATGTCTTTATTGCTTCTTTAAAATGGATATAAAATACCTTATCTGTGTCAGAGGGAGTGGCATTTCTGTTGCGAAAATTGCGACCTGAAAAAGGGGTCTTATAGTGAAAGATGGTATCAAACGGTACATGGCTGTCTGTACAATTGAGGCCGCACTGTGTACATAGCTCAGGGAGGAGACCATGACAATCGTCCGGAAAGTGTTTTGCAACATTTGATGTAATTTATCTGTAATAAATATGATCAGTACTATTCCTTCATCTACTCTTCATGTGGTCAGTGCATAATCAATACAGGTATTGACCCTTTTTGCCCGGCCGGTTAAAGATCTTGGTAACTAAAATGTGACCAAACAACAAAGATATTACAGATAGTACAGCTGACAACATGTTTCTATCCATGTTAACTGTCATATTGGTCATAGTTGGTATCAGACTGTACCTCAACTTCAAACACGGATTCTGCTTAGCGACATGATACAACTTGGACTCCATTTAACTCACTCCAAAACGATAAAAAAGAAAAGAGAACTGAATATAGAGGTTCCGTTTGACAGTAGTTAAATGCACGTGTATGCCCACGATACCCGATCTAGAGTCAAGGAGGACAAGACAGGTGATGTGAGGGACTGACTGACGTGTGGTCGACTGATGGCAACGGTGGAACATCTACGACATGACACAGTAGCAATATACAAATCCCGCATACAGGGAAGTACCTGAAACATTCCTCTGATCCAAAACTACTGCCAAAATGCAAAATTCTACCGATATCATACAGTCGGGAACTGTCCTTTGCATATAATGTATTGTTTTGCCCCTGGCGGTTGAGAAGATGGATTAGCTTGAGCCTGTCTCTTGTAGTTCCTGTTCATCACTCGGTAAAGAACTCCGTCCGTACACGTACACGTACGAGTCCATCAGTGGACACATCACAGATCTGACTTTTCTCAGATTTGCTAGGTCCAGCCTACTTATCGAGTCGACCTTACTGACCAAGTGTTCTGTAGTAAAAGTCATGTTAGCTAAGGAAGCTGAGGATGTCTCCCTCAGTGCGGATCGAAGCCGTTGACCACGTGTTCTATGATGAACGTGATGAGCTTGCTGTAGATCTCCTGGAACTTGGGCGTGTACCTGTCCTCCAGACACTCCGCCACGGCCGCCAGGAACGGCTGCTCAAGTTTCTACGGGAAAACAGTGAAGAACAATCACGAACCCCATTTCGAATCAGGTTTGTCTTGTGTTAGATATTCCATTTACATGTAATGACTGCGTCAAGACAACATATCTGAGCAAATCACCTTACATCGATTCGATTAGGCTTACAAAGGAGATCTTGCTGAATTCAATTAGTTTTTCTTTCTAAGAATTGCCACAAACTGTTCAATGACACTTACCCACATGTCGTCCGGCTTGAGCTCCAAGTCCGCGTGCATCTGACCGATCTTCTTCAGCAGTTGGATGACGTAGTCGACGTCATCCAGCGAGTCGATGGTGTGGTCGAAAGCGTCGAGCACGCGCTGGGAGTGTTCCTGTAGGAACTGGCTGTTCCGCAGCTCCTCCTGGTCATCCATGCCGTGCAGCTCGGGGTACTTCTCTATCATCTCAGGACAGTCACGGAACAACCTGCGGGACGACAGGGGAACGTGCGAATTACCGGAATAGAAAGTTTTGAAGTTTTTTTCAGAAACAGAAGGTTTTTCATTGCATTGTTATCTGAATCTGGCCATAGAGTGTTTAATACGGTTATGTTGATCTTCAGACCCTTGTTTTTACTTGCTAGGCTGATAGGTCACACAGTCATTGCCTTTTACGTGAAAGGCTTCATGACAGTCTCTTGTCCTCTGCCTAGGTCCTGTTCTCGCATACGACTTTATTAAATCGTCGAGAATATCTACCTGTACGGTGACCTGCGAATTATGGAGACGTAGACAAAGGCACTCGTACAGCTGTAAAATTTTCACTCTACTGGCCAAAGCCCCAGACAATATTTTGATTGTCTAAATTGCAAGCGTGTTCAGGAGATAACATTAATCAATCGATATTAATGCACTTTGGTGGCGGATCATCGTTTATCCTGTCTTAAGACCGAGGACGGTGAGTGATACCAGCATTGTACTGGCCTTACATCAGGTAAGGATTAGCATTAGATAGTTCCTGAGCTTCGGTTGAGCAGCCTCAACAACCAATTATCAACTGCTCATTGCATAAGTCAGGGTAGATGGGGAGATGTCGAGGCGATGCTTATAATTTAGTCCGACTTCTCTTTCTCTCTCTCTCTCGTTCGCTAGCTCGTTGTAAACGTTTAGCCCGATTCCTTTCGTAAGATCTAATAAGCCGTACCTTTGAACCCACCATGTACGTAGCGTTAGCAGACATGAAGCAGTTACACAAGCGGTGTTTCTGACGTTCCTGCTTTTTGATAAACTGCAAATTGGATTGCAACACGCCGTCTGTCCACGGCAAGTACTGACATCTCCGAGACCCCAATTACTCCGATTTCATCGTCCACTGAACACGCCAAGGAAATTTGGGTAAGCAGGATACTCGCCAGACCATCGCTCATGCAATGGCGATGTTTCTCCGAGTTGCCCATTCATCTAGTGAAGACTGATGGGTGCAGCGTGTCTGTAATTATTTGCGAAAGGTCATCATGGTGACCTGTCAGCGTCTTAATCATACCTGCAAGTCTGTTCTCCTTACCATAGTCATATGTCTGCAGATCAGGATTTATTGAAGCTGTGACGTACACAACCGAGGATGTAACTTTTTCTTGACTTTGAAAAATTAGAATATCAATATAAGAATATCAATACCTTATCTATATCCATATAAGAATATCAATACCTTATATATAACGTTAAACACAGTTTTAGCCTAGTACCATTCACTGTGACGAGAAAATATACAACAACAGTAGGTATGGTACCATTAAGAACAAAATTGGTTTCCCTTACACTAGAAATGCACCACTAGATAAACAATGATTTATTGCCTTTTCTAGATCTTCTCTTCATTCTTGAATCTTCAGTGGATGGAAGAGACGAACGTTCCAGATTGACTACTTGTTTTCTTTACTTTCAGGATCCCCTGTCAGCTATTCCATAAGGGTATCAAATGTTAGCTGTAGGCCAGGTTTTTGCATATTCCACTTTTGTGATCTGTGCCGTGAGATGTGTCCCAACCCTGTATTCAGATGTTCCACCAGGGAAACATTGGCCTAGATCGACAGCAGACGGATGTATCATAGAGCCAGTTGGAAGTGGTCCGAACCGACATTAGCCTGTTAGCGGGAGATTTCGGTGATTTCCTGAGCTGCCACAGCGAGTCGTCAAATTGACCGGATGTGTCCTGAAGTTGTGATGTTCGGGTATACATTTAGTCTAGAACATCTCACAGGTCATCAATATTAAATTGATGGAGCTTATATCATTTACAACAATCCCATGTCACCGCAGCATGATTCATGGTATTAAGATTAAATAAGCAGATGGAAACAGAACGTTCGGAGATCGAAAATCGATGCTTTTATCACAAACTGCCAGGTACTTTGCCTATTACATCCAAACACACTCGGGCAATTTAGGACATTTCAGCAGCGAGTACCGTTAGATAACGACGGCAATGTGAGTTGCATTCAGCGATAACTGTTCCACTTACACCACTAACACTGGCGAAGAAAATGTGTCGAAATCACCCTCCCACATTTAAGTACCTAAAATCGATGATTCAAAAGTGCAACTTTAGATAAAGGGACAGACCCCAAGGACTCTGATTTTAACGGCTTACACTACGCTGTAATATCTGCATCTGTCTTATGCAACCTGCAGAATAAACAGTACCCTTCGGCACAACACATCGCCTTATTTCTATATACAGCATCGCCATTCAGAAGTCTCGTTAATGTATTCCCGAAGTGCTCTTTGGTGTGAAATCAGAGGATCGGTCCAGTAGAAACGTACACCTGACAAACCGCAGGCAGGAATAATAAAACATGTTAAGTTGAACATTAATAAGATATGAGACCGGGGCTAGTCGCGGCTGTGTCAGCTGTCACATCGATCAACCCTGTAAAGGTCGCCCCTGTTTGTCATGTTCACCCTGTTCGCCATTTTATCACATGTCCTCCTCAAGTTCACATTCTGGGAACAAGTGAAGGTCACGCGTGGCTTGATCAACGTTAAAACTATAAGCGAATTGAAATCTGTTTTGTAGGAGGTGTTTTAATGTGTGACATTCCTGAAAAAGGCGATGCTTTTCAATGTCACAGAAATGTACGTGTTAGAATGTGCACTATGTTCCATATCACAGTAAATCATAGTAGATATAATGTGCGAGCTTCAGGAAGCCAGCAATTGCTTAAAATCCATGTTCTGATCTGCTTGATGTAGACTTAATGTCATGCGATGGAAGAGAAAGCTTGGAATTTAGGAAAGGGTAACTTCAACATCTTATCAGCGCTGATTAATAATCAATTAGCGTGCACACCTAGTCAGGTCGCTACATGAGGGTCTGCATGGGGGGGGTCCTGGCAACGGTTAACGGTAAATTCAGCAGGGCTGATAACGCTTAACGGTAAATTCAGGACGGTCGGCAACGCTTAACGGTAAATTGACAGGCTTTTTTTTCGAGCTGCACTGGATTGGGCATCTCGCTTTGTGAGAAAAGGTGATCACTGACAAAATTACGTATACCTTACATGTAATGAAGCACGCATTAAAGGTATGTGTTCCCTGTGTTTCCCACCTGCCCTGGTCCCGTAGTGCGTCCACAAATACCGGGGTGTCCGAGTCGACTTTGGCCAGCTTGCATTTTTTCAGTCTGCCCAGTTTTACCGATGGATTTTGAGAGGGGAGCGCCGAAGGCGCTCGTAATCTAGGGGGGTCCGGGGGAATGCTCCCCCGGGAAATTTAGGATTTTTAAGCCTTCAAAAACGCAATTTCCCGCATTTTGAGAGGCAAATCATGGTGTTGAGAGTGTTTGTCGGTCCTTCTGATGTTTTCATATTTTACTCAAGATTTTTGTTAATTTGCCTGTCAAGGTTGACGGATTCGCAAACTTCCGGTAATTGACGGAAAACTGGTGCTGGTTAGAGCCGAAGGGACCGAGCACAGAGGCGCGAGTCGAGCGCCAAAGGCGTGAGCAATGTAGGGGGTCCGGGGGCATTCTCCCCCGGGAAATTTTGTATTTTTAAACCTTCAATGACGCATTTTTCTGTACTTTGAAAGGCAAAATTAGGCGTAACGAAGAATAATTCATTAACGCTTAACGCTGAATTTAGGATGACAAATAACGTTTTACGTTGAATTAAAACGACCCATAACGCTTCACGAGGAATATACTGATAACGCTTAACGTTGAATTAGAGCAGGCCGGCAACGATTAACGGTAAATTAAAATAGCCCATAACGGTTAACGAAAAAGGGCATGCAGACCCTCCTACATCTACCATGGTGTGAATCAATAATTGTGCTGGAGTAGATCAAAGAGCTACTATAAATAGTAACATAAGCGTGATCGGCTTAGAGGTTGGAGGATATTTCTAGCCGACCTGTCCTTGGTGCTGAATATCCACGGCTTGTTAACTCTGCTTTTACGTGTTGTTTTCGGTGACATGCCAAATTTGGTCATTCTTGAGCATCGGTCTCTTTCACAGGGATGCCATAGACTACATACACAGGACCTTTTTAGGCGTGCTGTAAGCTCTTCGTTTCCCCCATCTTGGTAAAGTCTTGATGCTATTGAAAATCCAAACTGAAGTCTACTTTACTCACGCTTCGTGGAACAAATTCAACGAGGTATTTTTCTCAGGCATGAATGTCAGTATGGAGCACGCATGCAGAATAACAATGCACGGGCGGCATCACAACTCGTACTCTGAAGCCTTGCGGCATCTTGGGTATCAAAGCTTATCAATTTACAGACAGGACATACATATTGACTTTGTTAAGAAGGTGAAAAAGCCTTCACGCTAGTTTCTTATCGCGGCTTTCCACCACACAAGGTCAACAACATGGCAGACAACAGACAAAAGAAATAAGTAAATAACGAATGCACTGTAGCTTACAGTACTTTATCTTGTGTTCTGACCCACGAAACAGTGTTCGCCATATATCTGTTATAGCCTCACAATAAGCGCCTGGTTTTATTTACTATAGCAAGGTCTTATATCATACTTACACCTAAGCATGCAAACTGCATATTTTTTTTTATTCATAGAGGTTTTATGTCATGCAGAAGTAATTTTATATTCCAAAACAACAGGAGGTAAATCAAATCTCGTTCCACTCACGCCTGTTCCCATTCTGAATTGGAAATGTAGCAGCATTTCATGTCTCGACATTCAACCATGCAAGCAGCTAACTGGAGACCTCACATGGATAACCCACTCCCCTTACATCTATCCATTAGGATCAAAATAATCCTTGTTTTCCGTCGTTTAACCGTTAAGAACGCCCTTGTTCATAATTACACCACACAATTACGGCTTTTCTATTCAATACAGCCGGGTCGTTCTGGTGCCTGTCTGGTGCGGTGGAAGCTCCCGAGTCATCCCTCCAAATCATGGGTGAAATTGCCGCCAATGGCCTCACCAAGTCGTATAGAAAAACCCATGAATAAAAATT